ACAAATCATACTGCGTTCCAATGACACCTTTCATTCTTATTAAAAATGGAACGAGAAGCAAGATATAAAATGAAGTTCCGAACAGAATACAATATTGTTTCCATGGAAAGGACGGAAGCATCTAAGCTTGCTATTTTGGGCGTCTATACCTACAAAATTTTCGGAAGATTTATAATGATTTATATGGCTTCTGCTATCAAATAAAGTTTTGTACCTATTATACACGGCGATAAAGGGAAACTAGCCATCTCGTGAAAGTATCACAAAAAGAAGCATTGTAACGTTAAAATAAACTTTTAAAAAAATTTTGATTACAAGGCGACAAAGTTAAATCAACAAAATTTAAACAACCGTTTGATTTATTATAGAAATATACCGCCATTTTTTTCTAAAAACCACAATCCGATGAAAAGGTATTTCAAAAAAACTGAAAAGAACTTAAAAATGATGTCAAATTTTAGATTGCGGTTACTGACACATGAATTTTTTTTAAAGGTGTCATGTATTGGAATTATAGTAGAAAGGGTAGTATTTTTACATTTTCATGAAATAGGCTTTAACAATTATCTTGTCAATAATAGGTTTTAAAGATTTGCAAAATCAAAATGGTAATTCAGTTGACGGAGTATTGAATTTTGAGATTGTTAAACAGTGTTTTTATTTAACAACGAAAGCTTACTTGTTATCAACTAAACAATAATTAATTGTTAAATCGGCAAAAAGTTAGATCAACCTTAATTAACAAGCAAAGATAATTAATTTTAGTAGTATTCTATTAGTCAAGGCTGGATTTACCACTAGTCTCACAAGGCCCGGGCCTAGGAGCGCGTAGTTCCAAAGGACGCATGGTGGAGAAACCATTTTTAATTTTTTCAGGCTAAAAATGGGCACTTGAGTCGATGAGTGGCAAGGAGAGCCAGACACCATTATTGAATTCAAAGTGAGAGAGCACTGAGCGAGTCGAAAATAGCCAAAGTAGCTCGGAAAGGCTTCCTGCTTCTCCTCTAATCAGCACCTAGCACGTTCAGTAGTGAGGAACGTGTTACAGAGTTGCCAAGATTATTTGCTGCCAACAATGCCACTGTTCTGCACCGTGTCACCGTGTAGTTTAGATGTGATGCGTGGAAACTTTTTACTCAATTCAGCCGATTCGTCACGGAGAGACCCTCCTCCCATCTTACAACCCTTTCCAACGAAGCGAGGCGATAAATATTTTCGCGCCTAGGAGCTCACAAACATTACATCTGGCCCTGATTACAACAGGGTTCAATTATTAATGGCACATTGCTAGTTCAACATTCTTTTAAACACTCTTTTCCACACTCAAACATTTACCTCTCACATTACCCTAACACAAAAATGCCAACCTCGAAGGAAAATATTCTAGATAAATCCACGCAACCTGGCCTTAAAATTCAGGGGCAAATAAAATAAATACCTCTGCGATTTTCTCTTGCAATCTCCTGGAGACTTTCCTAACACATATGCCAACATTAACTCGGATTTGCTGGACGGTATGCAGTTATTTAGTCGCCTCTTACGACACGCAGTGCCCTCTGCGGTAGAGTTATTCTTTCCCGACTCTACACGGGTAGACATGGCAAAAACGACAGTTTAATACAATAAAAGAGAAAAAGATCTATCTTACTTAACGCTCTCACCCGCTATACAAATCATCACCGGTGTATCTCGTACAGAATTTCATTTTGCGCAGGCAAGAATAGACTTATCTACCGTGTAGTATATAATATACTATTGTTTTCACTCTAGTACTTCACCTTCTCTAAATTTGGATAAAGCAACCCGTAAAATGATAAATTACATGTACATAAAAAACACCAAAATCATAAGCAATTCATGTTAAAGCAAGCACAAGCACATTAAATAATAGAAGAAAAGTTAATTAGACGACTACCTTCTCGTATTGCAGAGACGCAAGAGCTTCAATCAACACGAGATGAGTCAGCAATATATACAGCGAAAAATCGGACTTCCTTCAAGGAAACAAACACACTGATAATATACTTCCCCGTGAATACATACATAAATACTTAATAAAACAATGTAAAGGCATAATCACCTGCACAACAACAAACATAATTCAGTAACGGTACATAGGCAAAAACTTGAAGTACGCTACGCTTCAATATCAGAGCTTTCTGCAAAATGTAAATTGTAACATAAAATTCAATGATTAATAGTTAGTGCAAGAAAGATTGCAATGATTATAGACGCGCCATTACTCAAAAACGGCTCGGATTCCAATACCGTTAACTGACGCTAACTGTCCTGCCAAACTTCGTTGTGTAAAATTCCCCGCATCTGCGCAGAACCGTCAAAATCAAAGACCTCATGGTTGTTGTCATGTATACACAGCGCGATTGTTTAAAGTGAAAGGTGTGTTGCCTAACCATAGGAGTGCGTTGATCTTAAATGTTTTTGGACCCTTTCAATGACCCTTAAAGGCCCAGCCTTTAGAAAGAGCAAAGAGTTAAAAAAAAGTCATAACACTTCTAGGAGACGCTTGGAATATCTTGAAGGCCCAGCCTTTAGAAAGAGTAAAGAGTTAAAGAAAAGTCATAACACTTCTAGGAGACTCTTGGAAGATCTTGAAGGCCATTAGCGACGTAAACTCTTAAATACTGCTAAAAACCCATAGAAGCTTTCAAAGACTTTTATGGTCCCATAAAAGTTCCAAAACGTTTTTCAAAAAAGGTGTATAAAGGTGCATAAAGGATCTTAAGGAATTTTTTTGAGCTGGTATAATGTAATAAACATTTTTATGTCATCTCTTAAACGCCCAAAAAGAGCACATGACACCTATATTACTCTTTTGATGGCACTTTTTTTTGACAATTCTATTAAGCCCGTTCAGCCAAATTTGGCTATTTCAAGGCTTGTAGCACAGGTATTAATCTTTCACTGTTTTAAGCACTATGTGTTTATATTCACTATTCGTTATTGTTTATTAATTATTTACTGTTTATCCACTATCTCCATCCGATAAGTAAATATCCTGTGGTAATCTTCGTTTCAGGCGGGTATGTAGGTTTTTTATTCCTAGATTATAGTGTTCACAGGCTGGGCTTATGCGTAGTTTAGTGTTGTATTGTTTATACAGCGTTTTAATAATAGTATATTAAGATACAAGTGTATAATCAAGTCTTTAAAGCACGCGCAACGAGTTTAAGGGCACGACGCAAAGCGGAGTGCCTTTAACGTTGCAAGTGCTTTAAAGATCAATTATACACGTGTATCTTATAGTATTTTTTATTATACCTGCAGTATAATTTAAAAATAGGAAATACAATGAAGTCATATTGACGTTATACTCGAATACATGTCTAATTAAGTGGGCTGGGTGTTCGTAATTTCACGATTGCCATGGAAATGTCTCTTGACGTTTGCTTATAAAAATCATCGTCTTTGTGAATTAAACGATTTCCGTTGAAAAAGATAATACACCGTCCATTAAATCGCTTGTTGTAAAATCTAAACGAACGTTGGTAGGTGTAAAATCCAATCCAGTAAAGCCTATTATAAAGAACATGAAAAGTTGTTTCCATGGATGAATAGGAAGTTACTTACGAATACAGTCTTAAATGCATCGATAATGCTGGCATATATGAAGGAAATGTCAAAGGTATTTAAATCTTCTATATTTTGGTGCATTCATTCAAAACTTTAAAGCAATGCTGATGCGATTAAAAAGTGGAACAGATTTGGAAGCATACCCTAAATTACGCGCGTTTGTGAAAGCTTCAACCAAAGGATAGGTACAAAAGCCAAAGAAATGTTCTGCATTTACAGAAAGCGACCTAAGAGGATTTTTTATTTCATCCAGATGACAGTTTCAAAAGTCATACTTGAAGTATCCTTACTTAGCAACTTTAAAGCACGTGTGTTTTAAAGGCCCTTTTTCGCACGCATTTGAGTGTTTAAAACGGAGATTGTGATTCAGGTATAATAAAAAAGCATTTACGAGCGGTATCCCGGTTTCTCGGTGGATTTGCACATTCCTGACGTACCATGGAGCGTTTACGATAATTCTAAGCACTCGGTTTTGAAAAACTTGAATTTTATTCAGTTGCATTACCCCATATTGGGCAACCGTATGTGAGGACAGGTCTTATAATTGCCTTGTATATTAGGGTGCCACATTCGATTTTTAGTGGTGAGTTTTTGTTTATCACAGGGTAGAGTTTTACTAACCGCGTGTTGGCCTCGTTTAATTTTTTGTTAATATGATATCCCCAAATAGCACATAATACCCTATAAAAGTGTCGACAATGGGACCTGTACATGAATATCTAAACAGATTACCATTGTTAATGTATTTCTGCAAGTGGGGATAGCACTTCTTTAAAACGACATGGAGGGTGGAAATCATTCTAAATCCAAGAGTCGTTCAAAGGACAATATAAGATTGGATGGATTCTGACATTAACGACAAGAATTCGCCCTTCAAAAGTAATGTATGAATAATAAATAAATCTTACGAAAAATGAAGTAGCGTACCTACTTTAAATAGGACTAAAGGACGTTACCATTGATGACGTTCTTAATAAAGAACAATGGATTTTACAGTTAAGCTAGAAATCGAGTTTCAATGGTAACACACAACTTTTTATATAGTTTTTCACCCACAATTTTATAGAGGCGATTTAAAGTGCAAAAATGTAATAACAGTTGGACTAATTTTGTATGAAAAAATTGATGTAGCTACTAGGACTAAGGTTTTCATAGTCAGTTCTCCGAAACTAACTATCTGCAAAAGTGAACGGTAACATGAAAAAGTGGCCCTTAGTGAAAAAAACCCATTGGTGATGGTGACTAAAGTATAGGTACTGAACATGAAAATGGAGCTCCAACGATCAAATTTGTTTATATTCGCTGCATTAATATTCAAACTGTTTATAATTACAATGCCGCAAATTATCAAATACACATCGTCCACACCCAAACAGTTACCCCAGGGTCATACCATCACTGTTTTTATCATTCGATTACATTATACACGCAGATTGAGCAAGTTGGAGTAACAAATGAATCGTAAAGAGAAAGATTCATCACAAAGGTGAATTGTGCAAGCAGTTAAGGTGGCAGTTTACGATGGTTCCAACGGTAAGCCTCGATTTTATTTAAATTTATGCCTTTTGACGCTTTATGCACTCGAATCTAGCACTACAATTGGTGACAATTTTATGAATGAACTAAGACTTACGCAAATCTTGTCACCTTTAACAATTATTATTACTAATCCATAAATCACCGCCGTAATGCACTTTCACAATGGCAACAGAAAGACTTTATTAGTTAATCTACCGATGTCGATTTGTTGTAATTATTTTTAATTAATAATGACACCAATTTCTATATTATTGATAGCATAGGTAGTATGAGTGAAATCGGTATTTAGAACTAGAAGAAGTAGGTACCAGAAGAACTTATCCAAAAGTTAGCCGATGGTGAATACATTTTTCTTCGTGGGAATAAACTGTTAGATAGATCTAAAAGTAACATAAAACCGTAGAAAATTGCTTAATGGTGTTAAGGTTTTCCATTTCCAAATCTGAAAACCCATATTCGTAGGGGGTGTAATTATTTATCAATACCATATACGGTAATTTCATGCTGCTTTGACTGAATTCTTGTAATTTGTAGATTCAATGATGAAATGTCGAATTTTGAGTTATGTGGCATTGAAAAGCACCAATAAATTACTTTCCTTCGAATAAAACTGTCGATAATTGACAAAGATTTGCATATAAATTAAACAGATAATATTTATAAATTTCCATTTCTCAATGTGTAAGGAAGCAACATGCGGAGAAATACATTTTTCCTGAATCCAACTCTTCATTTCAATCCATAGCTTTGGATAGAAAAGTGACGGACTGAAGAAATGTGAGTCTCTGGACCCTCTGTTGCAGTCGAAAAATTAAATTAAAGAACCTAAATGTTGATGTCATCTCCATCAACGATCTAAATAAATCTATTTAGGTCTTTTTCAATCGAAACAAAAATTACGACGCGTAAATTCCAGCTATGTATAACGGTCAGTTAAATTATAAGGGCTGAAAGCCCTCGTCCATATTAAATAAAATTTATCCTCTACGCCTACGGCACTGGTAACAGTTTTTCTTTTCACAATTAATTTTAACCCCGCCTAGCTCTGCAATAAAATTTAAATACCCCTTACTTTGCGGAAAGTTAGCCCTTTATCTCCTTTTCAAATCAGAAAATGACGCTCTGGTTTGACTGCATATGAATAAATACGAATTCTAAAATAAAAAATTGAATATATTGACAAACTAAAGTCGATCCAATTCCAATCTTCTACACCTTTCCTGATTTAAAATATTCTATAGCAAAATCTATCAATTCGGTTAAACGAATTCAATGATACATTTGATAAAAAACATGGCGGACATGGAGCATTTCGCCACATTGTCTTGATAACTGTACCCAAAATAAGATTGCAGCACCGATTAAAAAACGAGCTTTTCCTACACATCCGTTCTTTGAGTCATTTTCGAATTTTTGATAATCAATATTTAAATGATTGAATTATGTGCCTACTATTAGAAGAACCTTCTCAATCGTTCATATTGATTTACTATGGGCACCTCAAGGACCTTGGTAGTAACCTTTATTATAGTTGCTGATTGTGGCATATGGCACGAATTTAATCTATATAATTACCAAGCCATAAAAATAGTTTTTATTTTCGTTTGACGAATCAACACGCAAACTTTTCCTTTTAAGGCAGACCATCAATTCATCTCCACGCACTTTGTTCGGTAATATTCATGTTGATCTCGTCATCGTGCAATGAACAAACATTGCTCATTTTTCCAATAGATAATGCATCTCTCAATTAATAAACATCAAGGTAATTTAAAATGGATAAATTCGATTCGGTCATTTCGTTCCCATCGCCACTTTAAATTATTTCAACGACGCCGACAATCGAAGACCTTCAGCTCTTCTTCATTTCACTCACGCACGAATCAACAATCGCTTTACTCACCAGGAAGGGAATTCAAGGTATTTTTTAAACATTTTTTTTGTTATTTCAGAGATGGTTTTACGTGTTACTTACTTTGGGAGTGTGCGGAGAGAAAATTAAAGACGAGAATCGACCTTACGAGTTTAGTTTTACAATCGACAGCCAGCAGCATCGTTACGAAAAGAAAGGTTTTTTATAAATTATTCATCTTTAATTGTTTAACTTTCATGAATTTTAGATATAAACGGAATCGTTCAAGGAGAGTTCGGGTTTATAACGGCGGATGGGGTGTATCATGTCACAGTCTACGCAACAGATGAAAATGGGAATTTCAAAATCATTAGCATGAAAAATATTAAGATTAGTGAACGTGAGTATTAGCCATTTTTAGTCCAAACCTGACGTTCATGGTACAATATAACGTTGTAAAAGTTTAGTGGTTTACAGGGACATCTGGGTAGTCAAGAAGGAGGCTCGATATCCCCCTCCCCAAGATTGAAAATATAATTATGAGATAATTCATGAAGTATTTCATTCTCAGTAGAGTAACTGAACGCTTTCATGCCAGACTCCCCTTCAAACCAAATCCTACCCAAATCTCTGTGATGTGGTTCCATTCGGTTTAAAAGAAACCCCCTTGTATATTTCCCAATTTCGACAAGGAAGAAAAAAATGCACACACAAGTCGATAAATAGAGAGAGTGATCTATTCCCAGGCCATTCTTGAAAGGGAATTTCCAAAGAAACTTGACAAAATCGAAAATGGTATAACCAAAAGCCACGTTATGGATGCTGAGCATAAAGTTAAACTAGAAACAATTTTTGGGGGGCCTTTATAGCACTTTGTATGTTCCATTCTATAGAATTTAACAATATTTTTTTATACAAAATTTTCCTCGCCTTGCTCATTCAGTAAACTCATTCACTTACAATGCTATGGTCTATAGTTCGACTCTTTTGTGGTGAACCTTACATTTTCGCACATGCTGTAACTTCAAAGGACGTTAGATCCTAGGGGGTGCTTAACATACTATCCAGCCGAGTTACCCCTTCACCATACATACAGATGTAATCATTGATATTAATAGAAAACTACTAAAAGGATTAAAACAATCTTGCTATCTATAATATGAATTGTTTGTTACAGGCCTCGATCGACTCAAAGAATCCGAGCTTCCCAAAATTCCCGGTTTCCAATACCATACACCTACCACGCCGCAACAATCGTACCCTACTATTACTACAGTAGCGACAACCGTCAGACCTGTGTTATCGACAAAACGTCTACCGAAGTTCCTCACTGCTAGCACCATAAGAGTAGGTTGCGGAGGATGTGGAATTATAACGACACCACGCAGTTTGAAAGAGTTTTTCAATGGAAGAACGGGCAAAATTGAGTCTACAACCGTTGAAACTACAAAAGTTACTAATAGTGCCTATTTAAAACCCAACGCACCCCGTCCCGAAGATGCACCCTCTTTCTTTGAGGGCAGTCCAAAACCACGCAGGGTAATTACCGAAAGTATTGTTATATCCCAAACAGAAGCTTCTACGATTTTCAATCGTTCACCTAAACTAATACAGCAGAATGCGGTTACTGAAGAGTTCAGACCTACACTAAGAACTCATTCGGAAGAAACAGTTACAATGGGGACTTCCAATGTTCCAGTTATCTTCAGTTCTCCTTCGGATAATATAGTTACAAAAGCACCACCTGGGCAGAACCCTCAACTTAGTGTACAGGAAACAACTCCACATAATGAAATAGCAAGAGTCACAGGAGCTGTTACTAATTCTACCCCTAAACCTGGAACATTGGTTATCTTCAGTTCAGAAAGAAGTACAGCACCACCTACGCATAACCCACAACTTAGTGTACAGGCAACAACTGCTCATAATTTAATAGCAAGCGCCAAGGCAGTAGTTGCTCATTCTACTCCTAAACCTGAAACTTTGGTAGATGTAATTCGCCCTCAACTCTTAGAGGAGCCAAATAAGGATGTTATAGAAATACCGAAAGGTGTCAAGCATGCCCACCAAAAAACCGCTAGATACGTTCCAGACGTCTCGGCAAAGGCCAAAATTGAAAACGGGGCAATTCGAGTTCCTGGACACGATCCAATTTTGATACAGGACAAATATCCAAACATGGTTGACGGTTTGCCACACGGTGTCACAAAGGCCGACATATCCGACTTGTTATACAAATTTAATTATACAGTTGGCTTCCATGGTCACTACGAGAAGGGATGGAGGAACGGGACGAAGGTTGGGGGTTACTTTGTCAACGGTAGAGATGGGTATAGCAGGATCGTGACGTATGTTGCGGACGAGTTCGGTTACCGTCCCAAGTTTAAAATGGTGCGGCTCGGTTTAGATTCTCTTGGCACCCCCAAGGAAGACACGGAGAAGTCCTTCGGATTAGAAAGCTTTGAGTTTGTTTGGTATCCGCTTAGTTAAGATTTATTGAATGTGCAAACTTTATATGCTTAACTCTTCACTTTGCAATTCGAGTTGAACTTTGTTGCCATAATATAATTTCTGTACCACCCGAATCTTAAGATAGAAACGCCTGCGTTTATGCATCTCTATATACACTTGTAGTGCAACATAAGTTGTCTATCTGTCGCAAGTTTAAGAGTAAATTAGAATTGCTGCGCTAGCGCTTTCTGGTGGGAAAAAATATTTATATAGATATTCGCTGATTCAACCCCTATTCTGTTGAGCTGACTGAATGGTTAAGATTTTACTCGTAGGTTAAGATTCACAAGCTGTCCTACTTTGTCAGCCCATTCGAAATAAGGTTGGACCCATTAGTTTACCCATGAAAAATATATTGCTACCAATTTCAAATTCTTTTTTACCTTTTTTTACTAAGCTAAATGCCTTTAAGAAGTGTATTATAATCGGTATGTATAAAATTCACATCAATATTAGATGATTTTGTTAGCATCTCTGGTATAAGTATCAGAGTGATTGTTCAAGGGGCTGGTATAATACACAAAGAACAGAGACGACACTAATCCTTAATTACCTTGAATTTTGACACCGGTCCCGTATTTTTCCGATGTCGGGGAAGAGCGTAATTGATTGGAAACAGTTTTGTTCGAACATATCGAAGGTATAAAAGACCGGATGGGAATTCCGTTTGTCTCTACTCAAATAGACGTTTGGATAAAGAGAAAACGTACTGTGAAAGTAACGAAATTTTGAATTATGCCGTAAATTAAATTTACTTTTGCAACCGTAACGTATTTAAATCGGTTGCTTCATTTTGCTTTGCAATAAATTTGCCGCAGCGTATCTATAGCTTTTGGTTTTCCTACACAGTAATTGCTACTGCTCCGTTAATATTACAAGGTAAGTTTCATTAATTATAAAGGGGGGAATATTGTCTCGCTTTTTCCAATTGCTTTCCCGTAGGATACCGAATCAGCTTATTTACTATTTCCGCTTAAGGAAATTTCTCTGCGCTTTAAGTTTGTTGGAATCCATTAATGCTCTACAAAAATTAAACAATAGTGTAATATGCTGGGCTAATACAAACAGGTAGAAACTTTTAAACTACTCCAAGACCCAAAATGGGTTATCATCTAAACCAAAGACCCACAAAACAGAACTTTTAAAAACAATAGCTGTAGTTACTACTTGATTCCAAATTTTATTATTTAAACAGATTATCTTACATACCAGAAAGTTTCGCAATCTGGCGCTGCTTTTTTCACAATTCCCTGGTCAAGTTCCAAACTTCCAAACGGTTTTTCGGCCTCACGTCTTGACTGTTCCCTTGGAAGCTAATCCTTGTAGGTATATAACCGAGGTAAGGCAATCCACTGGCCAATAAAACAGGATACAATATTAATTGTAGGTTTATATGAATCCCTTTCGATAGCACCATCAACATTCCGATGTTCATTTCGTGATTCATTGCGAAATTAAATTAGCGAAAACGATTATTTATCTAAAAGCATAATAATTACATAATCACATTTGAGTAATAAATATTTAAATGCGTGTGTTTAAAAATTAAGGTAGAGTAACGGATATCCTTATTTTATTCATGAAGGATGTTTCTTAATTGCTACGGATTACATTTTGATTTTGGTCTAGGTATATAGATGAAGGTAGGAAATCTAAAAGAAGCCATAAAAACAAATTATAACGACTCTGATTCAGTTAAAATAATGCGGTATGTAAATTAGAGAGATTGATATAAAATACAAATTAATTATATTAACTAAATGAAATGCAAAGTTTGATAAAACTTTACTGTGATACATGTGATTGGATGCAAAGCAGTCGTGCTTTAGTTTAGTAGGTAGTACTGCCATTACGTACTGAAATGGTTTTAATCTTCATTAGAAAATCCAAGCACTTTTAGGTAGGTAAATTTTTAATGGAACACTTTTGATATAACATCCCATACGCAGTACCTACGCTTAAGGTTCACTGTTTTCTAAACTAAATAGGTAATGATTTAATGAAACACACAACAGGAAGTAAGCCAACAACTTAAAACCTAGCCCTAGGTTTATTGGAGCAAATTATGGCACTAATTAAAATGAAAGATGGTGTTTTCACAATGTTAGTAACTTTAATAGCGTTAAATTTGTTTAAATCTAATGTGTGGTGAAAGCACCTGCAAATAGGGCCAACGTCACTAACCGATACCCAACTAAATTTTAAATAAATTCTAGAAAATAGTTTAGTGTTATTTCCATATAATTGTCATGACCGGTTAATGGGTTTCGGAAAGTTACTAGTGACAGTCTGACGAGCGGTAATGCTATCTTAATGAGTTTTACGTTTCCAAAGTAGCTCAGACAGGATTATTCATGATACTATCATGCGGGTTTCGTGAGAAGCGCTGAATTGGCAATATGAAACGGCCGTATTTATTTATAATTTATCTAATTAAGTTAAGCGTAAGGGAACGAATCCGATTTGTTCATGAATAAATATGGCTAATTGATGCCATTTTAGGCGTGCTAAAAAATTTAAAAAAAGAGGTAGGGATTAGTCCAGGAAGAATAGAAAAATGGCGTTCGGTTTTAAATCACGAAAACGTCATGTAAGTGATCCGAACTAAGATCTTTATAGGGAATTTTTAAGTGATATGTTCTTACGCGGGTCTTACGCGAAGTTAGCCCTCGACAATGAGTAAAGTGCCGCAAACAGATTACTTACGGTTAATTCTAACTTAAGAATACGTCTCGTTAATCAACTCGCCCGTGTGTCATAAAACTGCGATAAACCGTACGCGAGAATTCGGTAACGTTCAAGGAATAAATTGATCGTAAGACAGCTGTTGTCCCTTAGAACATGACGAGAAATTAATATTTTATGATTTCAGTTCTCTCCATTAATTAATAACAGATTTTAGTTTCCTATGTTAATTCAAAACCCCCGATATAAGCAAGCAAGGTCGCCGTAGCGTGCAGTTTACGCAAATAACAGACACCTTTTGCGATTGACCCGGAATTCCAAGTAAAAATGAGCATTACTGGACTACTGAATTCTGAAACTTCAACAGTAGCTCATGAAATGAGTTTCAGTAAATCGCATCCGAATAAGTCGTGTCTAGTCTCAAACGAGGTGCGTTTAATTAACTTATATTTTGATATATGTACCAGATTTTTAGGATGGCCGGGGGCAAGAGAGATTAAATAAAAAGGTTTTAAACAACCAAACCGACTACGCCGGCCGGCCGGGAAATCCACATTTTTTGAGAATTTTATAAAAGGCAAAACCGTTGTTTAAGAGGGGATCTTTTTGACGTAAAATCTTTTTGCTTTTATAAGTATAATAAAATATAATATATAATTATGTAATAAAATAATCTGCTCCTACTGCAATATAAGGCGCACAAAATGACAAACTGCGTCAACAAAAAAATTTGGGTTGTCAGCCCGTCATTTAGCGTAAACAGATGTAAACGCTTTTCAACCGTCGCTAAAACTACCAGCAATAGCCGCGTTTACTCGTTGTCTCCGGTATTTAAGGAAACACCACTTCCACCATCAAATAAACTCTTTTTTGAATTTTTAAATCAACAGCCAATCACAATTAGCTTAGATAAAAACGGTAACTACGTCAAACGTCCCCTTCTCTCCAATATTAAACCCGCAATTCTTCGCAACATGTACGTGTTTGTTGCACCAAAACACGTGCGTTAATTAATTTTCGCCTAAAAAACCCTTGTCGCAAACGACCAGCTGTGTCCTACGTCTAACACTTTATCTAAATTGAATAAATTACAAAAGCGATAAAATTTAAACAAGAATTACGCATTTAGTCCCTTCAGATCTTCTAAAGTCTGCGTTTTTGAATTCTTTTGCGGTTTCATCGATTATTTTTTTCTTAAAGTTTAACTTATCAAGTTATAATAATTAAAGTTGGTGAAATGGAGTTGCATAGCAAATTTAGGGTGAGTTTGAAAAGATAACTGCCTAATCTGAATCTCAAAATTAACTCACATAACTCGTTTCCTGAAATTTGTTACATTAGATTAATTTCTTCAACTTCTTCAAATTCATAAAAACAAAACATACGAGACATCATAAATGTAAGTGGAAAACATGTTAAACCAATTTATTACAAAAATACATTAATAGTTATTTACATAAAAGTCAGGAAAATGACACATTACTTGCGAAGAAATATTGAAGTACGAGGCCCCTTTGGGGAAGAGTACTTTAATTTCCGAGTCAAGTAATGTCATTTTACTAACGAGTTTTGTATTAAATTTTACCTGAAATCGCATTTTGATATAAAATTTCAATTTGTATATAACACTTTTGATTAATATCAATCTGTCAGTGATGACAGGACAGGAGCCAATATAGACATTTCGCAAATGTCACAGATGCGGCCGGTAAAGTGACGATGCGGCCGGTAAAGTGACAGATGCGGCCAGTAAAGTGACAAGCGGCAGGAAACTCTGCCTCTGTCATGGAAACTCAAATTTCCTGACAGAAAGTAGGCATGAAAATGAAGGTTTCAGGACGATTTTGGGTAAAACGCATGTACGATCAATTGAGATAAAACAACTCGTGAAATGATAGATTGCAAGTGCATAGAACACATGAAAATGGCGCGGCGGTTATCATAAATTAAGATTATAAGTACACGTGAGAATGCCAATAATAAGTATTCAAGTTAAAGTAGACGATTATGCAAACATTCATATTAAAAGGGAACTTCGTCAGATTCTTCAGAGTATTCCGATTCTTCAAATTTCGGATAACGTCTAAATCTTTAAATTTTTCAAGTTTTTCAGAACCTCTCAGTTTTTCATCTTGGGCTTAACGAGCAATTTACTCAAATCAAGTCAGTTTGTAATTACCTATTCGCAATAAATAGCACATAATTGGTGCACACAACTAAGATTATGGTGCTGGACCGAGAATTGGGGAAGTTTCCTATACAAATCGTACCATCTCATATAAGTAAAGCAAATTCAAACGTATATCACTATTTAAGTTTCTGGTACCGTAATAAAAATCTAAATGAGTTTAATTTGCGAATAATCTAAATATTTAGACCAAATTTCAGGCGGGATTTACAGATATTTGCGATGGTGGTAAACGGCCTAACAGTAAAAGAACATAAACAGTTTAAAGAGAACAGAAAAAAGTACCCACTTTAATGAGTCACCGATATTCATACTAGGAAAATCGAGAAACAAAGGCGTTTCTGGGCGCTACCATTTTCGGTTTGGATGCCATGGTCAAGCGGTAGGTGGAAACGAAATAAGAAGCTTTGTTCTACTAAAGCAAAGAAACCGCTAAATATTTATTTGACATGTAATCACCGTTCGGCGTATTTGCTGTGTATCGGTTTACTTCGCCTCC